CTGTAGAACACAGGACGAAGAAAACCGTTCTGTGATGTTTTTGGTTTTAAATATTAATTCAAATGAATCATCTCACCTTGGATAGGCAGCTCCTCCAACTGCTTCTTTATATAATCGATCTTTTGTTGTAACTAATGTAAATGGTCCATCAATAGGTAATTTATTTGTTGATGTTGGTGTAACTGTATTATTATTATTTGATGGAAATGGATCTTTAGAAAATTGAATTAATTTAATTTCATCTAAATAAATAGAATTTACAATGTAAATTTTAATTTATTTAAGAAAAACCTTTCAATTCAATAATATCATCTTCAGTTTGTTTAATCCACCATTTAATTTGTTCAATATATAATTGTCGTTTAATTTCATCATCAACATGATTATGTGTCATTTCACGTAATTTTTTAATAGATTGTTCAAGTAATTTTTTTTCTTTTAATCTAAATAAAAAATTATTGTTGATTATGTGTTTTATCTTAAAATTTACTTTTGAATTTTTGTTTGACGATCTTCTGATGTATGTAAACGAAATTTTTCATTATCATCATCTTTTTCTTTTGGAATATGTTGAATAAGTCCATAATTTTTACATAATTGTAAATATTTAATAAAATATGATATTGCTAAATGAATATCATTTAAACGTTGTTCACGATTTGATGAACGATATTCATAAAGCCAACCAATTAAAGCATAAAGAATAAAATATCTATTTGATATTTAAAATAAATGATATTTTTGTGTATTTTCTTAATTTTTATTACCGTAATTCATTTGTTGATACTTCATTTATTTCTTCATTATCAGAAAATAAATGTAATTCATCAAGTTTTTGTTCAGCAAGTTTTAAACGATCTATTGCTATATTAAATGTTTCAAGTTTTTGTTCAATTTTATTTGTTTCAAGTTGTTGTTGAAGATCAAAAGCAATATCAAATAATTCTGCTATCGTTAATTCATCGTTCGATATCATCTAAACAAAACAAAAAAATAATAAAGAACAATAACCAAACATCTTATGAGAAAATCGAACAGATGTTTATTTTTAATAACAAAAGTGAGAAAAAAAAATTGTGATGAAATTAATTTCTTCGAAATATCCGAGACAAGATGGTCGTTAAATATTATTATCTCCTCGTTATTATTTTTATGATTTCTTCAATTTTATCACCAACTGTTGGATTTAATTTTCCAAGGATAAATAATAATAAAAATATTCAATCAGTAACAACACTTCCACCAGAAACAATACATTTAACTATGCATGAAAATAGTTATTCAACTGAAGAAAAAATTAAATATATTATGGAATGTATTAATAAATGTATGGAAAATCGTCAACAACAACCAAAAAAAGGAAATATTATTGATAATGGTAGAGATACATGTATTCAAAGGCAATGTCGAATTTATGAACGACGTCGTTAATTTATTTCAAAAAAAATATAATTTTATGGATAAAGAAAAATACAAAAATTCATCTACGAACATCTGTCTCAAATAAAAAAGAATATTAAAATCTTAAAAATTCTTGTTCTTTTTTTTTTCTTTGCAGTGCAAATCAACAAGGAAAGAATTCAATAAGTGTTGTCTCATCGAATAATAAAAGTTTTGGATAGGAATTGTTCTTCTTATGTTGATAGGGAAAAATCGATCTCAGGTCATACTTGAATATCGTTTGAATTAGAATAAATATAGTTTTTTTCAACATGGAAAACACTCTTCGCAATGAAATATTTTTCTATCAATGAAATATTTTCCTATACAAAGAATTTCATATGGATTGATTATACATTTTATATGCCTAAATAGTTTGCAACAAAAACAACAGAAATCAATCAATATAAATTATAAAACAACGCATCACTTAATGTTCCTACCGAAAACAAAATTATTGAAAATAATGAATTCAATTATCGATTATTTAATATCTTACAAAGATTATTCACTTATATAGGAATATATAAAATAAATAAATAAACTAAAATAATTGACCAATCAAAAAACGAATAAACAATTGATAGAAAGTAAACATACGTATCTAATCATTCATTTAATCATTAGTTTCTTTTTTTATTTTTCAAAATGACTAGTTCATTTTCATTTGTTGATGAACTTATACGTGATTATCTTAATTATCGTGGTTTAACAACAACTTTAAGAACATTTGATAGTGAAATAACAAAAATTCCAATTGGACAATTTCGTGCTGATCGTATAACTGAACAATTAACAATTTATATTAATCAATTTGATATAAATAATTTAATTGATTATTGGACACAAATTGAACAACGTCTTTTATCAACATTAATAATACGTTCTCAACAACAAACAAATGTATTAACAAAAATTCGTACAAATTTATATCGTTGTTATTTAATTCATGCAATACAATCATCAAAAATGGATAAAATTCATGAATTTTTTGATCGTTTAACTAAAATTTTACAACAATCAAATGAATGGACTAAAGATTGGTTTGCATTACCATTTATAAAAAATCCTGAAGAAAATCCAACATTTCAATTATATTTTTCAAAACAATGGAATGATCTTTTTTGGATTTCATTACAAAATTTTTTATCAACTGCTTTCTATCAGTAAGAAAATAATTTTTTTTTTCTGTTTTTGTATTTATTTATTTTTTTAATTAGTATGATACCACCAAAAATTTGCTCAATGGAAGAAAGTAATTCACAACAATTTGGAAATTTAATTAGTCAACAAACAACAAATTCAAAATCATTATTTCCACCTTCAGCTGTAAGTTTAATATATATATACAAAATGAATTAAATTTCGTTTTTTTTTATTATCTAGCGTATTGATCCATCGATGGCTCAATTTGCTGAAGTTCTTGATGAAATTCAAATATCACCAAATGCTTCAGGAAATGAACAACAACGTCAAACAAATCCAACTATTATGTCTAAATTTCGAAGTAATTTTTTACCAAATACAAAACAATTAACATCACGAAGTAAACATTTATTTTTTTTTAATTATTTTTTTTATTGTATCTTATTTATTTTTTAAAAGATAAATTACCTTCATTTTCAACAAAATCAAATTTTGCTCAACCATCTCAAGAATCTACAACTGGTAATCAAATATTATTAGCAACAGATGATACAACAATTCCACGAGTACCACCATCATCAATAACAGCAACATCTATATTAACAACACGATCTAAAACAGCAACTATTGTTCAAGATGATGCACATGTATGAAAATATATGCTCATGCACCCACGTATGTGGTTCGATTATTTTTTCTGCTCATTTGTTTGATGCTAATTTTTAAGATTTGACAAACATGCTTTAAAAAACAAACTAGAGAAAAAAAACACATCCTTATAATAAATTTCTCTAATTAGATCGATATAAATGAAGAGAAATTAATTCATTTGGCAGAATTAACACATCATTCAAGTACAATTATTGATTGTAAATTAAATATGGATGGTACACTTTATTCTACACTTGATATTCAAAGTCATGTTAAAAGTAAAAACAATAGAATAAAAAAAAACCACATAATTTGTATTTTAAATCTCTTTTTCTTTCTTTTTTTTTTTGATGTCCTAATTTAAAGTCTGGTCAGCAACTGAAGATTTCGATATAATAACTTCACTTATATCACGTTCAGCACTTCAATGTCAAACATTCAATACTGGTGAACCATTACTTTATTTAGGTACATCAGTATCGACCATTAAAGTTCTACATATAACAGAAAAACGTATTATAAATGAAGCAATTATTGATAAAGATTATCCAAGAGTTATGTTTATGTATCCACATACAATTCAAAGTAAGCTTTTCGATATATATATACAGTCCTGGACAAATGTAATTACTCATCATAAAATGCTACTGTTCTTTATAATATTGAGTTAATATTTTGAATGTATGCATGCGACAAGAAACCTTTATGAAGAGAAGCATCAATTCATCCTTCATCTATTCACATATACTGGAATCGTGATTCAGAAATCATCTTCTACTTGTGATCATCTTGTTTAAATCATTTTGGCATAAATATTTTCCTCTAACCCATCATTCGAAAGGCCATTGTTGTTACTATTCTGAAAGTTTTAAATTTGTAGCATTGAGTGTAGTCGACTTAATGCTACGACATGAGTTCACTATCTCAGGTCGAGCTAATTTATGGAATGACCCAACAAAAACATTTTGTATGAATATTTCCGCTGAATATATTGTTTCACAAGGGAAAGTACATGTGTGAATCATAACTTCAATATATGTGAACTGATGGAGAACGGACTGATGCTTGCAATCAGAGTTTACAGTTGCACACATACACTCAAAATATCATACAGAATAGTATAATTTTATGGGAGACAGCTATTTTGATCCAGGACTGTATAAAGTCGAGAAAATTCATTATATAACTTGTAGCTCCTACATATATATATATATGCTTTTTCTTTTATTATTATTTAGATCGTCTTTGTGTTTCATTAGCAACTGCAAGTCGTTTAAATACAATAGATAATAGTCGTATGCGTTCTGGTCGTGTATCAATTCTTGATTTAAATACATGGTCTGTTGAACGTGTATTAACTGATATTGATGATAATTTTGTTACATGTATGACTGTACATCCCGAACGACAATTACTTATTTTAGGTAATTTTGTCTTGAGTTATTGTTTTTTTCAAATTAATTTAAAATGAAATATAATTAAGTTTTGTAGGTTTTAATGATGGAAAATTAGCTTTATATGATATTCGTTCAAATACTCTTATTCATCAAAAACAACAACATTTACGTCTTATTCAAGATATTCATATTGTTAATGATAATTTATATTCAATTGGAAATGATAATATAATTATTCAATCAAATTTATCTTCATTCGATCAACCAATACAAACATATGAATTACCTTATTTAGCTGTTGGACCTTTTCAAACATGTATTTCTATGTCTTCAAATGATAATAATAATTTATCATCACCTTCTTTTCAAAGAGCATCAACATCATTAAGTACTAATAATTTTTTTCCAATTGGTAATGTTTTTGATATTGATCCATATGATTCTGATCGTTTAATAACATGTAGTCCAATAAATGCACGTTTTTATCGTTTATCAATTGGTGATGAAGATAATAAACTTCAATTTTCAACATTAATAAATTCTTCACTTCAAAATTCAGAGAAATATTTTCCAAGTTCATGTGTACATTGGAATAAAGAAAAAGATATGTGTATGACAGCAAATACAAATGGAATAATTCAATTATATCGACGAATAAATAAACCTGATTTATAATTTTCATTTGTGTGTGTGTGACTAAATGAAGTTAATTTTACTTTTTTATATAGTGATATATAGATTGAAAATTTTAATTGATTAAAAAAAAAAGATTATAATTATCTCAATGAAATCATATATAAATTCATTTTACGATATAAATTGAATTCAAAGACAATATTTTTAATTCTTATATTATGAAAAAAAAAATCATAGTAATGATTTAAAAGTTTTTAGATTCGTGTTTTAATATCTTACGAATTGTTTTGAGCTTTATTTCATATTTAAGGTTCTTGAAAGATGCTGTTTGATAAGTCAAAAAAGTAGAAAGTTGATTGATTTGTTATGTTGATGTAACAATCGATAATAGCTGCTAAAAAAATGAACACTTCAAGATAAGTTGCAGAAGATTCTATATAATGCGTCAAATTGAGATTATTAAGTTTATGAATGAAATATAATCTGAAGAGCTCACTTATAGGGAATCGGTAGGTGGGTGTGAGCATCGTTTTCGTCTGCACCCACACATTTTTTGATCATTATTTTGATCAACATGGTAACTAGACATGAATCCTGAATGAAATCATTATAAATATAAAAAGTCATCATTCTAGCATTCAATTCATATGATCATACGAGCAGAAATCGTAAAATGATCTTCTATTGATGAAATTCAAACAAAAAGTAAAGTAATTTCCATTCATTTGAGTTAATAAACTAAAATAATATTACTTATTCTTCTCGAAGATGTTTCAAAATGTAGATAGTCTTATTCAAATCTTCAAACAATATATGTTTGATTAAAGTTATAGACAAATTGGTATCAATATAAATATCAGCTACAATCAAATCAATCATATAATTAAGATAGTCAACTATTTTTTTGTGTTACTCATTTTTTACCAGCCTCTAGATTAGACAAACTAATCAAACAAAAGATGTATAGAATAAATGATCAATATTTCAGTCTACCAAATATCAACAACGTTACAACAATTGACGATGTCAATACATTATTCTTGAGTACCATAGTAACTGATAACTTCAATGATTAACAATTGACTACCGTTAATAATCTAGTTATTCGTCATATACAGTGTGCTCATTTGATGATGTGACTTGAACATTAGCATAGCCCATAGAACCTAGATATCATTCACATTCAAAAGCAATATCTGACCATTTTCATTTAAAACAAATGTACAGCAACATGACGATTTCAGTGTAGATAACAAGTTTTTGCATTCATCCTGTATATAACTTCTCCATGTTAAAATAACTTGCTAGTCAAGTAGAAATTGAAAGATAATTCTTTATCGTTCAACAGTAAACTATCTTGTCATATCATTATTGCTGGACAGTATTGTTTGATCATAAAGAGAGCTGAGTAGAGTGACAACAAGCAACAATAGACTGAAAGTCATTGTATCAATAAGAAAACATTTCATGTTGTCAATTCCTTTAATTTTTCAGTCTTTAAATTCTTTGCAGTACATGATTAACACTCATTTGTCCTTTTAGTTAGATCTCAAAAATAGATCATTTTGTAACAATATTAAGATATGATTTTATAAATATTTACAAAACAGACTAATCAGTAGAAATAAAAGTAGAAAGATGACTTCATTTTTTATGATCATTAAAAATCAATATTTTGCTTTTATCAATGAAGATACCAATCAGATAAATGAAAAATAGAATTGTTCCTTTACCGAGTATTTTTAATAATAATGAAAGAAAAGAATATGTTATTAGTTCCCATAAATCCACGTACAAATTAAAATGAAAATAGACAAAAAAAAAGAAGAAAGTAGAACACAGAACAGAAAAATGTGAAAAAAAATGATCAAATCAACCGTTTTAAATGGAATGACAAGTATATTAATTGCCTAAGAATAAACTGTTTTTGTTTAAAGTTCTTTTGTTGCTGATGGTTTTTCTCGATTTTCTTTTGGTTTAACAGTTGTAGATTCTACAACAACTGGTTCTTGAGTAACCGTCGGCATTGCCTTTGTTGTATCATGTGCACGTACTGTATGAACATGATCTGAATTTACTATAAATAATAAAAGACAAATAATGTTAACATAATACAATAAAAGAGAATACGTATAGCTACCTGTAGTAGTTGCGGTTTGAGTAGTGGTAGTAGTTGGTCTAGGAGTAGCTGCTGTTGTCGCTTGCGTAGCAGTGGCAGCTGGTTGACGAGTGGTTGTTGTTTGAGTAGTTGATTGAGTAGTGGTTGTTGTTGTTTGAGTAGTAACGGGTGTTGTTGTTGTTTGGATAGTAACGGGTGTTGTTGTTGTTTGGGTAGTAACGGGTGTTGTTGTTTGGGTAGTAGTGGTTGTTGGTATTTGAGTAGTTGGTTTAGTAGTTGTTTGGGTAGTAGTAGTCGTTGGCTGAGTTGTTGTTTGGGTAGTAGTAGTAGTTGGTTGAGTTGTTGTTTGGGTAGTAGTAGTTGGGCGAGGAGTAGTTGTTGTTGTTTGAGTAGTAGTAGTGGGGCGAGGAGTAGTTGTTGTTGTTTGGGTAGTAGTAGTGGGGCGAGGAGTAGTTGTTGTTGTTTGGGTAGTAGTAGCTGGGCGAGGAGTAATTGTTGTTGATTGAGTGGTAGTCGGACGAGTAGTTGTTGTTTGTTTTGTTGTTGCTAAGTAACAAAACAAAACATAGTCGATTGACTAATTGAAAAAATAAAAACATACTAGCTGTTGTGGTTGTTGTTTTTGTTGTTG